CTGGATGGTGATGGGAGTTTTAACATGTCATCAACATTTTGTCATGTCTATGTTTCCTTTTGCAGGTATTCACTATAGGATTCTTTGACGCACATCAATGTCAAATTCTGTTTTACAGCATGTATCATTGACTCATTGGTGTGTGCCTTTTATGCCTCATCTTCCCAGGGTTCCCTTGGTTTCCTGACCAACTACAAGCGCACCAACGTTGCCTTGAGCCGAGCCAAGTCCCTCCTGCTGGTGGTGGGGAACATGAAGCTACTGTCGACGGACCAAACCTGGTCCAATGCGATCGGGTTCGCGAAGAACATGGGGGCCATGACGGGTGACATCGGGTCTGGATGAATTATGCTGTGACCTCACTGATCCTCACTGTCTATCGTCACTGGAATGGTGGAAACAATGGGGAATCACTCTCGAATATCCGCATGATAACAGCTGTTTTCAGGCTAGTGAATTCTACTTCAGCCAGATCCGGTGACGTTGTCGAGCCACTGTGAGCACCGCAGGGGGCAGCCAGCCGAAGCCAAAGGGTGACTGGTCTTCTTAGGTTTTAAGGCTGCAGTAATATGGATATGGGTCAGCAAGGGGCTACCAACAAACGAAATGCTACTCATTCTTAGCCGAAGCCATTCATTTTGGGGTTGGCAATTTTGACCCATACCCATGGAGCGGTGAAGTGGCATCGGCACTAGCTTCCTCTCTGGAGGATGAAATAGCTGCGGAATGGAGAGGCCGCAAGAAACAATCAAGCCTTATCCGCTATCCTTTTCATGTCGTCGCTCTGGATGTTCTTGGCTCTGTTTGCGGGTGCCATAATGGGAAGTACGCATGACTCAAAGTGGTTTCTCAAGGGTGTGTGCACCCAAAGTTAGATGGTTCAGCTAATTGGAAAGATTGCCAAAGCTATGGGTACATTCCTTTTGCATTTCAGTGTTTCAGAGGTACGTGTGCGTCAGACCCTGCCAGGAAATTCAGCAGTTGAAGCAAGAGTAAAGCCCTCAGACCGGATTGCTTGAGGATATTCCCCTAGCCCAGCAGCTGGAGATAGACGAAGGGTGCAAGTGGAATTGCAGTAGTTAAATAGTGAGTCAGTTTGGTCATTTTTGCATCGAGCAAGATGGAGCATCGGCTGACTATATAGCTTTCTGTACTTGTATACTTTTTTTTTTTTTCGAAGCTTTAATGTAAGAGCTCTTGAAGAAAGACACCATATCAATGTGCCAGGATGGCCCGAGATGTTGGACACTAATTATGGCTTTTATTATCCCCTGAATCCGGGAAGCATGGTGGTTGGAAAGAAACGAAACATTCATTGCGCTATCTTGTGAACCAATCTCTACATTTCAAAACTATGGAAATCAGTTGGCCACATATTTATTTGGACCCAAACAAGGTACCAATTTAGATGGTCGACGTGGCCTTGTTGGGCACCTAGTTTCTAAGGATTGCTGCTCTGAAGTCCAAGCTGGCTGCTGCTGAACAGATTCTTGGCTTCGATCTCTGATCCCTTAAATAGCATGCAAAACATGTGGTGCTACCTTGGTACCTCGGCGCATCCTCATTCTATAATTCCAATAAAGGAATATTAAGTTGCATAAGTTTAATGTTTTCGCGGCACAGGGTGTTATTTTACAGCACAGCATGTTATTAATAATGTTATTACTAAAGAAGTTAGCTGGTGTTATATGTGGATGGTGAATGATGTGGCTTATCCATAGAATGGGAATTTGCATCAATGAAATTTTGAAAAGAACAAGTGCAGAGTCTCGTTCAGTAGCATGTTCAGTCTGTTTTTCTTTTGGCGAGAAAGCATTTGATAAACACTAGTAACCTGAATGACATGTTGATTATATTTTCGCAACCGGATTATTTGATCATGCCAAGAACCTACTGCTGGAAGATGAGAGGAACATACCCCCATGAGTATCCCACTTCAAAAGACAACACTGATATGCACTGGTCTGCATGCATGTGTTTTTTCTTTAAATGGTGCTTTCAAGTCTCACAGCAATCCATAGAGGTATTTCTGTAGCTTCCAAAAACCGGGCAGTTGGGAGGTCACATTTATGTCGGAGGTGGCATTCCAAAAAACAAACAACTGGTAATTTGTAGACCCTGAACCATGGTTTTACACGTTATTCACCTCCATTTGTCATCGAATGCACTTGAAAGGTGCAGATCCAATAATCACTATGTGGAATGAGGTTGATGATGTTGCTGTTGTCGATGACGATGATGATTTGATGGTATGATGATTTCATGATTTGATGATGCTGATCAAGTCCAATCTGTTGGACATTAAACATCAGTAAACCATATTAAACCCTTGCTGAGCCCAAACCTCAGTTCAAGTCGTGTTCCTCTGAGAAGTGTCAGATTCGGAAGTTTGTGGGGCCTCAAGGTAGAAGCAGCACAGGGGAAATTAAACTTGCATTTTGTGGTTACGTCCATATCCATGGGCATAATTACATAGGTATGCCATTGGGTACAGGATCAATGGTGGAGTGAGCATTGGGTTGAGTTAATCTAAAGTGGGAGAGCCAATGCCATCCTTATCATTCGGGGATGGTTTTTGAATGAATTTGGTATCAATCATTTATGGTACTACTGGGGATGGTTGATGGCATTGGGCCATTGGGTTTACCACTTAGTTATTGTCCCATTGATATCCCCATGAAAATTACGCCCAATTGTTGCTGATGCATTTATGCTGGCAAGGTCCGAAAATCTTTCTCACCCTGCGAGGTTTCTAGCTGAAACAATCATGGAAGTGAATAGTGGATTTTCCAGCCATGTTGGTGATGGAATCTTATTACCGGTAGGATCCATGTATGGTATATATGCTAACATTGGGGGTATATTGATGGTAAATGTTACCCTATATAGCAGCACCATGGATCCTATGGGTTATGTAAATCCCCACTATGTAAAGGACCATGACATGCCCATTTTTCATCATCAATCCCGTTGAATCTCATGAAATCCCACCGTTCAGGAGCTTGTCCATTTTTACTGAGGCGAGAGCAAGATGCACTTGCAAAGTTGAAGGCCTTAAGACGTGGACATTTTGGGGTTCAGGGTGAAGTTGTGAATCCATGGAACTCAAAAAACAAATGTCATATTTGGTTATTTAATGTGTTTCCATGGACAATCAGCATTTTTAAGTTCAGTAAAACATCATGAACCATCTGTAAAATGGACAATTGTCCAAAGTCATTTTAAATCACCAGAGGGTATTCTTCAGGGAATACTTACTGAAGATGAATCGGAACTAGAGATTTTAGACATCGGTTTGGGGTTGAATATGGACTGAAAGTGCTCTTGAATTACCCTCTGTTAATCTAACACAACCATTGAAAATGGATACCGGCAACATTTTTCATAAGTATGTTTTGATAAGCTCATGGTAAAACTGGAGATTGATTTTTGTGTTTCTAAATATAGTGATGAACATGTCAGATGTAGAAGTCCTCCTGCAACAGCTTGTAAGCCAGTGTTGCTTGGCTTGCTTGTGTTGGTTTCAATCAGCAGACCATACAAAAGGCATAATATACCCCCAAATGGAAAATTTGTAGCTGATAAATCAGTGTGGATCCATGTTCGTTTTTTGGTATCTTTTACTATTCGGTAATAGCGGCAACGATTCATGGACTCAACCATGACCCTCTGATTGTAGTAATCAAACATGGTTTGCTGCACAAAATCCACCGTATTTATAGTATTTTATATAGTTGATTTTCCATGAATTTCCCATTACAGATGGCAATGCAAAAATCCACCATCAAACATGGTTGATTTTCCCATTAAAACCTCCATCTGTTTGCAAATTCCATGTTTGATTTCGCAGGGGTAAAACCTCACCTGAGGATGCACAAAAGAAGCCACCGCCTGCAGAAAAGGCCAAGGTGCAATACCTGCCGCAGTTTGGGGGGTGTGCAGTTGTCGTTATAAATATAAACTATGGTCATAAAGCCCTAGAAGTTAGGCTAGAAGTTGGGATATAACCCCTATCACCATGAGTTTTATATCCAACCGCACTTCCGAGTAGAAACCTTCATGGAACGTATTGGATCTATTCATTTTGGGTTCCCGTCGGGGAAATCGATGAATTTTTAATGGGTTACAGCGCATTAGCGGATGGGAGTACGGCATTGGATCAATCGATGAATTTTATGGATACCCTCTGGTAATGACTAACATAGCTATTGAAAATCACCATTTATGGATTTTCCCATTGAAAATTGTGATTTTCCATATTTATGTTAGTTTACCAGAGGGTATATATAATATAATTATATATAATCCACAATAGTGGTGGTTCATAGTGGTTAGTAATGGTTGGTAGTGGTTGATGGATAATGTTTAATGATCAAAACAATCTGGGTGGTGGTGACTGGAACATGGCTTTTTATTTTTCCATTTTATATATAGGATGTCATCCTTCCTATTGACTATTTTTCAAGATGGTTGAAACCACCAACCAGAATACCTTTGAATATGTTTTTTTTGGCTGAAGATGAACATCCATGTAGCAGTGCTATGTTTTGATGTTCAGCCGCTGTCTGAAACAACCTTACGTTGACCTGTCCTGTGTCCATACACCCAGTGGGTTGAAACGATATGGATGTTTGAAGCCCTATCGCTGGCATCAGAGTTTGGTCCAGCAAATCACAGATTTAATTGATTTTCGAGGGCAAATTGGGAACATGTATACAGGAAATCCATGTTGTGTTTTATGGTGAAAAATCATAGTCTCTAAAAAAAACAATGTTCCCCTTCATCAATCATCCCCTTACCCCCTGGTATTCAAAGATTGTTTGATGG